ACCATACGCCCCAAAAGTTACAAGGGTGTCTTACACCCAAATGACCTCACCCCGATCCACACCCACACTCCCACCGCACCCATCACGATCGCAAATCGTGATCGACCAATCCAACCCACCCCCTTACCTCCTGCCTCCCCCCATTTCACTATAATGCTAACTTAAGGAATGCCCCCCTCCCCCCTCCCCCCTCCCCGAATGACGCAGTTAACGTCATAGCATACCAGGGGTGCCGGGCGGTACCATCGCGATTGCCATTGCGTACGCGTACCTGTACAAAAGAAATCACCCACTAGCACAATTCCCGTTGCGTGAAGTAGGTAAAGTCGTAGATACAGCGTGTGAGAACGACTTGCATTGGCGTGCGAGAAAATCCTCCTTACACACACGCACACGCACACACGCACACACATGTACGCATACGCAAGGTTACGCGGATCCGCACGTGCACGCCTTCCCCCCTCCCCCCCCAACCAACCCGCGCGTTAGTAGTGGTAGGATTGTGGGGCGGGAGGAATGGCGTCAGTTCACATTCACATTAGGTTCTGCAGCACGCGAGTGCGGAAAGAAAAGGTTAGTGCTAGTACTTATGTATGCAGAGAAGAAGAAGAAGAAGAAGAAGAAGAAGAAGAGGGTTGGAATCTGAGGAGGGAGTGGAGCGGGGTGGGGAGGCCAGAACCAAAGGTGGGTAAGTACGGTATTGATGCAAATTGGGTTGGTTTGTACACTCAAGTGCGATGGTAAGTAGGCTACGTACACCTACTTTAGTTGGATTAGAAACGACAGCGGATGTTGCGTTAGGTGATAGCGAAGTTTTTTGTTTGCAGCGGTAGCGTCGAAAGATGCCTGCAGGTGTCGGGGAAAGTCGGAGGGTGGAGGAAGGAGATGACTCGGGATTTTTTTCTTTCTTGAACATGAATAGCGAATGATTTTGGGATCACGCAATTCTTTGTCTATTGGGGATATAATTCCGACATCGGGATGCGACTATATAGTTTATTTGACTATAGTAGCCCTGGAAACGACGCTGTCCCTGCACATGACTACAATCATTCTAACGCAGAAACTCGGCGTTCAAGTAGTCGACAAAGACCTCCTTTATCCGCGCCTTGGAAAAGCTGTGTTGTCGGTTTAGGGTGATGAACTGGCGTCGTATGCGCTGAAGTTGTGGGAGAGTCATTGGCGTCGCGGGCAGTTCAATGGGCTTCTCGACATCTGCTACAGCTATTTGTCCGCCTCCTTCACCAGCGTGATCTTTTTGGTAGACCATTATCTGCGTGAGAATGTCCGACGTCGTCTTGTCAAGTTCGTAGAGGTAATTTTGCTCGGTCGCTGGTTTCTATGAGAAGTTAGATTGGCGAAACGAGGAGGACCCAGAACACGCACCAGCACTGTCGCCAGGTTGGGCTTGACAGTCTTCAACTTGCCGTCACTGCCAATCATGGCTTCCCATATCTGGTCGCATGGCGGCGTCTCGTCTTCCTCAACCACAATGAACAATGGACTGTCCCAGCGCGTCATGCCATTGGGCTCTTCGTATCGGAAGATGAGGTTCTCAAAGACGTCCTCTTCGTATCCGCCGTCAGTCCCCTCGTCCGCCAAGAGTTTCTTGTTGTTCTCGCGACATCGGTCGGGCGGCGTGCCTACGTGCAGCTCTAGGACTGTTAGCGCAGTGACTTGGAAGCGACAATGCTGTACTGACCACGCAGCTGGGGGTCTGCAGGGCTTTGGCCTCGCAGTACAACTGGTAGCGAAAGCCCTTGATGTAGTTCAGGCCATCTGCGATAACAATATCATCCCGTGACAAGACTCTCTTGACGGCAGAATATTCTTCCGCACGCGCATCCTTCTCGGCTCTGGCCGTACGGTAGACGGAGCGCGGCACACCGAGAGTCTGATCATTGATAAGATGCACCTTGAGGCGGGACGTGCGGGCATCAGGAGGAGCGCTGGCAATCTTGGACTCGAAGAATTGCTCGAGTTGTCGGGCTCTGGTGGTCTTGCCCGCAGAAGGGAAACCTTTGGGCGGGTTAGCGAGAGTGGCGGCGGGGGCATGGGATGGAGGGGTGGGAGGGTGGAACCTGAGATTAGGATGAGCTGGCGGGCGTCAGTAATTAGCGAGTCTGGGGAAGGTTGGACGAGGACATACAGGCATGGCGGGCGCAGGGCGAGAGAAATTGGAGCCTACAAGGCGGCGGGCGCATGGCCTAGGGAAGATTGGCGCCTCGAGGCCCTAGCCAGCATCGGCAGATGTTGAAGAGTGACGAAATTTACACGCCGGGCTAGTATCAGATGGTCGGTTTGGTAGACGTAGTTGGTGCACATGGATAAGTATGCATGTAATCTGGAACTCCCGAGCCGCGGCCCAGGTGGTGCCCCGTCAAGCGTGGCCCTATCTTTCTCGTCGCCTTCTTTTCTTGCTTCTGTCCCGTCCTGCTGCTTTTTCCTCGCCTGCTGCCGACCAAGCACTGTGGATAGACGAATACGCACGTACCTACGGTCATTGATTTCTTCTACGCTCGCGCCAAAGATCGCCAGTGCAAGGGTGCATTCAAGGGTCCCCATACGCTACCACGGCTCCACTACTATTTACTTTATCCCTCCCGCTCGCCTCGGCCGCCGTTGCAACCCATCCACCGCCCTCTCTCTCTTGCTCTGCTCTACTCTGTTGCCTTCTGTCCTGTTCTGCCCTGCTCTGCCCTTCTCGACTCTTCACAATCCTCCAGTCACCAGCAGACCAGCCCAGACCAATCGCAGCAATGTCCAACTACTCGCAACAGTCGTACGGTGCCCAGACCCGACCTGCCTTCTCTGCCCTCCAGTCGTCCAGCAATGCCTCCCCAAGCTACAACAGTGCTGCTGCCTCCAGCATTGCCTCACGGTCCTCGACGGGTTCCGCGCCTCCTGTCTCGCCCTCGACGAGTCCTCAGAACCAGGCCTACTTTGGCTCCCTGAACCAGCAGTCGCAGCAGCAACAACAGCCTCAGCAGCAACAGCGTCTACAGGCCCAACGACACCCCAGTTTCGAGTACCAGCCCAATAGATCAGGGGCAGGCCACACCGCAGCTGAGACGACAAACTACCTTAACCAGGCTGCGCTTCTCGCCGAGGCCGCAAAACGGGCACAATTGGCTTGCGTCATGCGAGATCTCGACGGCATGGAGCTATGAGCAGGAAGAGAAGACAGCTGTGGAACACCAAGATCAACACAGACGATACGTTGCTATCGTCGAGTTGGTGCAGCGCTTCTCTCCTAGGCAATTGCCGGTAAAAGTCGGCCTTGCACCCTGACATACTTCACCTGCTACCCAAACTGAGTGGGTCCGGACAACAGAGTCTTCAGATCTCACCAGGCAATCACTCCACCATTTACACCAGACAATGTTTAGGCTAATCGTCCCTGTCTTTTCATTTCCATGATCCAGTCTTTTGGGTCACATTCCACTGTTGGCTACCTTTTTTTTCCATGGCGCGCTGCTTGGTTTATTTCGACTTTGTACATATTACTCCACTTGTCGGACCGACTAGTCTTTTCACCTTCCTCTTTCCTTACCTTATTTCATAGCTTGGAGTTTACACGGCATGGCGAGTACATACATACATATACGGGAACATGTTCCTTTTCACATGGCGGCATCGCTAGATTAGACTGTGCGGGGAACGATCCAATAGGGAGGCAACTGATCATACTTTAGTATGCATGCAGATGCGGGACATAGATCAATGAAGGACTTATTCCGATATTGTATGCGCCAACGTTCATCTTGCCCACTCACGGACCGAGGCTCATTGTACTTCAACCAGATGTGTGACGTCAAGATCAGGTTTTGTACAACCGCCTGCGAGAACGTCGATGCCTGCTTCTGCGCTTTGCGCCAGATCCAAACGCGTGCGACATGCCAGTATGCAGTGCCTCAGAGAGGCTCCCGTTGCGCCGTCGACCTGACGTGTTTGAAATCTTTAGTCGCGATACAAAGTTTATCCTTGCACCTGCATATCAGGCCACTGTCTTGTTCGGGTAACTTGAAGAAGACTAGACGGGAGAGCTGAATTGTAATCCCACAAGCAGAGTTTGGTAAGCCGCCTCAATAAGGGGTCTGGCGCTGTATGTTCCAAGTGGAGACGGACTTTTACGTAGTACGGAACGAAGCGTTGGTACAGTAGAACATACAGTGTGGGACCCGTTTGGAGCCGTGCCGTGTCTGAAAGGTCACGTGTGAACCCGTCTGTCGATCTTCGCGCGCCTTCCTTCTGGAATCCAGGGCCAACCTCACAACCAAACATCGTCGCATAGCCACGATGCCGTCGTCCGACTACGCCACAGCTTCGGGTGGCGCGCTGAAACTCAAAGGTGCTGGTGTTGATAAGAAAAAGAAGAAAAAGAAGCCCAAGTCCACGACCGACTCTGCCAAACCCGTTGATGGAGACGCTACGAGCGTTGCGAAACGACCGGGAACAGAAGACGATGCACACAGAACACCTTCGGGGACGCCCGCTCGCTCACTATCACCCGAGACCGCCGAACGATCGATAAGAGAGGGCGGCGGCAGACAAAAGACGGAGGCTGAGAAGCGGCACGACGAGATGCGACGGAAGAGACTGGAAGAGAAGATGAGGAAGGAGGGTGTCAAGACGCACAAGGAGAAGGTCGAGGAGCTGAACAAGTACCTCAGTGGCTTGAGTGAACACCACGACATGCCAAAGATCGGACCTGGCTAACGCACGATAACCGTTCCGTAGTTGCGGTGGTATGTCGTTCAACGACGTGCGATCCTACAGTAGGAGATGGATCCTACAATCCTCGTTTACATCAACATAACGGACGGACCATGGTGGGCATGATTGTGGAGACGTCAAAACGTTGACCGGGAATTATGCGCATACAAAGGGTATAGGAAAAGAAGATGCCAGAGTGTCACTGTCAAAGCTTTGAAGCTTGATGCTATCAACGAGCCTGGCAAATTGAGGGTCGGTCGTCCGTGCGGACAGTGCGCCGATAACAGAGATACCGTGTATGTCACACACTTACAAGATAATTCAACCCAAATAAGTGGATTTTGTTTCTGCGCTTATGAGATTAAGTATTCTTCTCGATCACTGGTGAACAGACGCCTTGTATTCATGATTGGGCCTGACAAGCGACCTAGTAGAAGACGGTTGGTGCAACAGCGAGCACGCGATAGAGATGGCAAACACCAAATACGAGGGATCCCTGCAAATCGATCCTACTCGAAGCGGCTGTAGTTCTCAATGGGAACACACTCCGGGAGTTACTCTTTCACTACTCTGAGATGCTATTGGATAGATGCACGTATTTATGCCGTTAGATGTACGGACGTAAATAAGCTGACCATACCTTGCCCTTTTGCCACCGGTAACCCGCGAATAGAGAGGCCATAGCGCTACTACCGTTGGACTACTGCACTATTGGAATGACAAGGGCGGCACGCGTAGGTGTGGGTGACCTGGACCTCACGACTCGCAACTGCGGCTTATTCTCACACTTCGTATCTACGAGCTTGAATTTCGAAGGTAACGCGACAGAGTCTTACCAAAGGCCCTTCGCATCGGGCGCGCTTCGGAGTCGTTCTGGTATTTCAAAAGTCCGTGTCCAGTTTGCGTCCACTAGCCTTATCAGAGTTGCAGCAGTCAGCGCGCAATTCCACCATGGAGATTCGTAGGCGCGGTAAGATGACCGGGATGTTTAAACTTTAAATTCGTTCCAGAAAGGCTTTCGAATGGCGACACATTCGATTCGGTCATTTATTACAAGCCCGCGATAGTGGCTTGGGTTGTGATGGGCTGGGGTACCTATTCACCTGCCGAGAGTGCTTAGCGCTCGACAGGTGCTTGCTTGCTTCGGCGCCAATGAGGCTTGTCTTAATGCCAAGTTCCATGCTTAGCCAGTGTTGGTTCTGCCTCGCTTGGTTTGGCTCTCGTACAGGGGGGTGAACGCTTCTCCGCACCTACCATACAGTCGAACCCGTTCTCGTCGAACAAAGTTTGGGGAACAACAAAGACTGTACGCAGAGAGCTGTCGAGTTGGGTGACCAAACGTGGTGTCTCCAAAGGTCCTATAATGCAAACAAACTCCACCACAACAACCACAACCACCAACGCGCATTGGGCACACGAAGCTTCACGATGTGGTGTGTATCATGCGACACAATCTTACCCCCACCCCTGGCCTGGCTCTTATCAAGCACCCTGGGCCTGTTCCATCCACTCGCTCGGCGCAAGCTGTATCGTCACAAGGCAATGTCTTGCTCGGTGCCACCGTGCTATTAGCTGGAGAAGACGCCATCATCCATTTGGGGAGCGGGGTGAGCCGAGACTGCGCGTGTAGGGTGCAAGATACCGGCCACCCCGGACTAGCCTGCCTTCTGCTGCTGTACGCCCTGGTCCAGGTCTTTGCCTGGTTATCGGCCGGGGGCGAGGTACGACCGTCAAAGGGCCATTAATATAAAACTGAACCTAGTGCTTCCGTCCGCTTCGTCTGCGGAAACCATCAGCTTCGTTCTTTTGCTTCATCTCGCTGTGCCGTGCACACTCCCTTACAAGGCCTTGCATACTCCCACAGGCCTGTACACACCCGTCATTGGCAACGACTGTTAGAAGACAGCCATCATGTCACTCACCGACAATGAGAAGCAGCACTATGCTGTTGGTGGTGAGTCTCCCTCCGACCATGGCACTGGACATGTCGGCGAGATAAAGGACAACGCGCTCGCCGAGGCAGCTGGTCTCTATGGATCGGCCCAACAAGCAGAGGACTATGGATATGTCCAGCGTGGCCTCAAGTCTCGTCACATCCAATTCATCGCTTTGGGCGGTACCATTGGTACTGGTCTGTTCCTTGGTATTGGCGGTGCATTCGCTCGCGCTGGTCCCGTCTCTGTCCTCATCGGTTACACTCTCACTGGTCTTGTTGTCTACGGCATGATGCAGTGTCTCGGCGAGATGGCTACATGGCTTCCTCTTCCCGGTGCTATTCCTCAGTATGCCGCTCGTTATGCGGATCCTGCTCTTGGTTTTGCCGTCGGTTGGAACAACTGGTACAACAGTTCCATTACTCTTTGTGCCGAGATCTCTGCTGCCGCTCTTCTCATCAACTTTTGGGATCAGGAAGAAAAGTAAGTGCAATGCACAGTCGTTGATAACAAATAGATGCTGACTCCACCCTCTAGATACAGTCCAGCGATATGGATCACTATCATCATCGTCATCATCGTACTGCTGAACATTTTCGCTGTTTCGATCTACGGAGAGGCTGAGTTCATATTCGCTTCGATTAAGATCATTACCATCCTCGGACTCCTTATCGCTGGTCTCGTCATCATGCTCGGTGGTGCTCCTGACCACGATCGGAGAGGATTCAGATACTGGAAGGAAGGCGCCATGAAGGAGTATGTCGGCAAAGGTGACACAGGACGTTTTACTGGTCTCTGGTCCACACTCGTCAACGCGGCATTCTCGTACGGTGGTGTGGAGATGGTTGCCGTTGCCGCTGGTGAGGCTGCTGACCCGCGCAAGAACATCCCCAAGGCCGTTCGTCGTGTCTTTTGGCGTATCCTGTTCTTCTACGTCCTTGGAAGTTTCATAATTGGAACGACCATCAGCTCAAACGACCCCCAGCTCACTGACGAGAACGCCAAGGGTGCTCAGTCTTCGCCGTGGGTCATCGCGATGAAGAATGCCGGTATCCCAGTTCTACCGCACATCGTCAACGCTGTCATCTTGACTTCTGCAACCTCGTCCGGCAATGCCTTCCTGTACACCGGCTCCCGATACCTGTTCAGTATCGCCCAGAACAAGCAGGCGCCCCAGTTCCTGCTCAAGTGCAACAAGAGCGGTGTGCCAGTCTACTGCGTCGCAATCACAGCCTCCATCTCTTTGCTCACATACATGAGTGTGAGTGCTGGCGCCAACAAGGTATTCACGTGGTTCCAGAACTTGACCACGATTGCCTCGCTCTTCACATGGTGCTCGATTTGCTACACTTTCACCCGTTTCCACAAGGCCTGCCTCGCCCAGAACGTCGACCGCAACACGATGATCTTCAAGAGCAAGTGGCAACCCTACCTCGCCTGGGTGGCTTTTGCCTACTTTGCGCTCATCATCCTTTTCAACGGCTTCAAGGTCTTCACTCAAACCCCATGGGGACCTGACCAGCTTACCGACTTCTTCACTGCCTACATTGGCATTTTGATCTTCTTCCTCCTCTTCGTATTCTGGAAGGTGTTCAAGCGCACCAAGATGGTGAAGCCAGAGGAGGCAGACATCTGGAGTGGCAAGGCCGCGCTTGACGCAGAAGTATGGCCTGAGCAGATACCCCGCAATGCTCTTGAGAGGTTTTGGTACTGGCTTTGTTAGGTGGAAAAAGTTGTTGCTGGTTGGCAATGGTTCAAGAAGCATTATACGAGTAGTAGTAAAACAGTACATACGTAGATGCAGCATCGCGACATACTATACGGTCGTCGATACGTTTGATAAATGAACTAGGGAAAAACCCACGTTTGATCAAGCATTGGGCGCCTTAACAATACTGACATTAGCGTACATGTGACGCTGCAATGACTGTTGCTGGGAAGTGATCACACACGGCTCTGGCCAATTCAAGAAGTATGTTGATGAAATTTGTATACTGAAAGACTTTGCGCAGCATCTAGTTTTCACAAATGTTCATGAATTGGCTGCGATTGGTGCATTGACAAAGAGTATACGTATAGAAACACGTGCTTATACATGTGACAGTCGGAATGCCGAACGCGTCATAAGTCTGTTTTCTCGTTCCGATGCTTTTGGCCTTGTGATTACCAATGACCGCAACCACGGTGATGCCTCAGAGACCTCGATGGGTAGCTATATTGTGGCGCATGCATGTCTCCATCGGGGTGCGGGAGCCACGGGGTGCGCGGACGGCTTTAGCCACAATGTTGTCTGTTAGAGCCGTCGCCGCCCCATGCTCCTTTGGTGGGTGATGATGCGTCCCGAAGCCTATTAGTGTTGGCGGCAGGCGGCTTTAAATCGTCCACCTTCAGGCATCCATGTTTGTCATACTCCGACGTCGTGCAGCCCTCAACTCGCCCACTTCCGATTGTCAGTCAACCCGCAGCCTACCAGTACCCTGTGTCCATCGTTGCTCCTTTCCTGGATATTAACGCGCCTCCGGATTTGACGTTCAATCTCGCGCGAGTCGAGCTATCGGCTGACAAACATGGAACTGCGCAGCTAGCAAGAGAAAGGAATCATTCAATCAGAAAAAGTAATGCATGGTGTTTTGTAAATCCAAGCCAAAGGAGTCCGCGTTCACCGCTCTGGTCTTGGCTGTGGTCAAGCAAATACGAGCATCCTGGACCGACATGACGGACCAGATAAATGAAGGCAGAGAACAACCCGGCGCGCGCAACGTCTGGTCAATGTCGAACCAACAAGTCAACAGTCCTGATTCGGAGCAATCGAAGAAGCCCCAGGATCAGCCGTTAAACCGCGCTTGCGAAGCTTGCCGCATTTCCAAAGTCCGATGTCTTGTGAACCCCGACGCAAGCTCATCGCAGTGTCAGCGATGCGCCAAGGCCAACCGGACCTGCATCTTTGCGCCACCCGTAAAAAGGCGACAGCGAAAAAGGACAGATGTGCGCGTTACGGAGCTGGAGAAGGAAATTCAGCAGATGCGCAGCCTTCTAAAGGCAAAAAAAGCGCGTCCATCCAGTGATGCTAGCGAGCATGACACGGGAGACGATGAATCGGACGAGCAAGGGCACGCGAGAGACGAGGACACTCCATCCACTTGGCGAAGGCACTCGAGTATGGGAACAGCAACAATACCCGCAACGGGGTTTTGTGGCCTTCCCTCAGTCACCAACCAAGCACCCATGCCCGAGCCCACACCCACACCCACACCAACCACCAGCGCACCCAAAGAATTTCTAGGGTCATCTGAAAACGATATAATAGATCGCGGTGTCATTTCCGAGGACATGGCCCGCGAATTTTTGGGCATATGGCGCAAGGAGCTGGTCGCGGCTTGCCCGGGTATCACGATTCCCAGACATTGGGACGTTTTCGATCTTCGGGAAAACAAGCCCGCACTTTTCCATGCTATCATGGCGGCTTCTGCCCATTCCAAAGGCTCGGCATTGTCCGATAGACTGCATGAAGAAGCCGTACTATTGTACGCGCGTTCTGCTTTTGTCAAAGGCGAAAAGTCCATTCAGGCTATCCAGGCATTGATAGTTACTGTATCGTACTACTCACCTTCCAAGACACCGGGACAGCTGCAGATATATCAGTGGATCAACATGGCAGCCTCCATGGCACTAGAGCTCGGCCTGACGTCGAAGCCGAGAACACATGAACAACTACCCAAGCGTGCCATTCGATCACTACAGAAGATTTCTTCGCCAGAGGAATTGTTAGAACACTGCCGCACCATTCTACTGCTGTACATTATAAGTGCTGGCTTCTCAATGAGGATGAGGCGACCTAATATCTTGCTGTTCAACAGCTGGATGGACGAATGTTTTGGAATTCTTGAAAAGTCAAAATTGTTAGACGATAAGAGGATAGTTGCATGGCTGAAGCTGCAGAGAATTGCCGATGAGGCAAATACGGCATTTGGCTTTGACGATGCGAGTACGAGTTTCAGTCTCTCTGAGCTGCGTATGCAAATCATCCTGCGAATCTTTGACCGGAGGATGCAGGATTGGAGGAAATCGGTTCCTGACGATGTAGTGACATGTGAGTCAACTGCTAATTCTTCCGAAGAATGTATGTGACTGAATTATACAGTGAGTCTCGAGCTCGAGTACCACGCAGACATGCTTGCCATGTGGGAGTTTGGCATGGACGGAGGTCGATTCGACGGTAAGTCATAACTTCGTCCACTCTCTCCAAGGTAATTACTAAACCAACGAATTCAGTCATCGAATTCAAAAACCGGCACGTCACACTACCAGCCCTCGACGACGACTCTGTGCAACCTGAATCTCTCCTTTCCCGCTCCGCACTCCAAATCAACGCAACAACAAAATGCATCAGCGCCGCCCAAACAATCCTAGACCTTTTCCTCGCCGTTCCCGAAGACGAACTACGCAAGTCGCCGAACGTACTTTACGTTCGCGCCGTCTACTCTCTTGTCACACTCATGAAAGCAGACTATGCCGTCGGCACCGACGAGGAAATGAGCGAGCTGCTCGAAAGCCAGAGTCTACGCGTAGGACACTATCTCGACGCCGTAATCCAAAAAACCAGCGACGCTGCTGGCCCGCAGAAATGCCGGAATCCCAGCCACTGGAAGTTTCTCCTCGAAGCAAAACTTAAAAGTTGGTGGGACGAGTACTTGGAATGGCGCAAGGAAGGCAGGCAACTAAAAAGAAGGAAAACAACATCCACACAGGGGGATAGTGAAGAAACGCAGAATCAACCCTTGGTAGCAGCATTCGCAGGGCCCGGTCTTGACACTACTGCTACTGCTGCTACTTCGACAAACAACCCATCAGCATCATCATCATCGTCACATATCCCACTCGACCAACAACAGCAATCACATCAGCAACAACACCAATCCTCTCAATTCCCCCTCTCAGGCTTCAACCTCTCCTCCACCTACCCCACCACCGCACCCCAATGGCCCACCACCGACATGACCCTCGACACCACCTCCTCAGCACAAACAATGGGCGACCAACAACCCAGCTTCACAACCGACATGGGCGACTTCTCAGCCGCGTTTCAAAATGGCGATTTGTACCTTTGGAATGATTTGACAGCAGAGAATTTTGGGGGCTGGGTGTCGCAGGGGGGGTCGTATGCTGGGATGGGGTTTGGGGGGATGAATGCGCAGGGGTTTTGATGAAGAAAAGAAGAAAAAGAGAAAGAAGAGGAGGGAAGGAAGGAAGGATAAGAAAAAGCATGTGTGTGTGTGTGCAGTTGTAACAAAAAAAAGCACTACTCAATCATATCTTTGATGAAAGGAAAATAGACAGCAATTTAACAAACGCAACAAAACACTCGTGTTTTTTTTTTGGCACAAGCATCGGATTTGCTCATTTCATTTCATACTCGACTTATACTAAACTCTCTCCCTCTCTCTCTCCCTTCTCCACACGAACTAACTAATCTCGGACATACCAATTACAATGCAATCCTTGCCCTATCCCACTCAATTCACGTCAACTTGGCCAACGCGCCCTCCACCCACTCCACCACCTTCTCCAACAACCCCACATCAGCCTTCGCCTGCTCGAGCGTCTCCTGGCCCTCAACAACCAGCGCGCCCCCACCCGCTGCGAGTTCTTTCTGGAACCTTGCTGCGGTCCGCTTGAGCACGTCGAGATAGTGTGTCTGAATGCCATGTGAGGCATTCAACTCCTTGATATCCAGAGTATCGTAGAGATGCGAGGCTTGAAGCAAAAGGTAGTAGAAGTTGAGGGCTGCGACGTAGAAGCCGAGGTCCTGGCGGAATTGCAGCCACGAGTCTTCGAGGCTGGTGTCAAGGGCGTAGTGGCGGGTGAGGTCGGGCCAGAGGTACGGGGCTACGGTGGACAGGGCGACGGGGGTGGCGAAGATGTTTGTGTGGTCGGATTCGTGGGTGTCTTCTGAAGAATGGAGGTGGGGTGTATTTGCTTCGAGGGTTTCGCCTTTGAGCCAGGATACGGCGCTTGCTTTGAGGTTCTCATAGGGACAGTGCTCGAGGGTGTCGCGGATGAAGGTTAGACGGACAAGATCGTGGGGGTGCGAACGCAAGACGGTTGTTGTGAGGTAATGTGCGTGGCCTCGTAAGCTTGGGGAGGGTGAGTTCGCAGAGATGAGTGAGATGGTTTGCAGATACTGAGCAAATGACTCGTCGTCCTTGGGCTCGCCGACATTGTTTCTTTGCAATGCAATGAGACCCATGGCAAGAACCGTGTCGAGAAGTGCCTCTGGCTCCATGCCAACAGTTTGAGGTCCCAGAGTCCCGATAAAGTTGCGAAGTATCGTTGCATGTCCCGGGAAGATGGCTACTGATGACGCTTCCTCCTCTTGCTTAGCAGGAGCATACAGTTCCTGTTTAACGTTTTGTGCCGCAATGAGAAGTAGAGCACCAGTCCTTGAAAGCGGAATATCTGCAGCCGTAGCTGGTGGTTCATCCTCGGTGCCGGGAATGCCACGCTTCTCCTCCTCCGAGTCCATTACAGTGCGTACCAGCTCTTCATATTTCAGACCCAAATCCTGAGTCAAAGCTACTATTTGGCCCAAGATTGCGGCTCGCGAAGTGAGGTCTTCTTCATTCGCAAACCGGTCTGCATATTTCTGGTAGTTAGGCTTGTTGGGTATTCGCTCCGGTTCATAGCTTTCCATCAGCCTGCTTGCCCATGAAAGACCTGGAACATCATCGTCTGATTTCAAAGATAGCATATAATCTTCAAGGATGTGAGTGAGAAAGGACTGTAGTAGCCGATTTACCAGGGCGGTTTCTTCGCTGCTTGGTGCATCACCCTGCGCTTCCGGATCTGGCTCCGATTGGTTGGTGTTTACACGCAGAAGATTCCCGCTGCTCCGCCTTGATGGCAGATGCGGTCTCTTAGTCCCGGAAAGTGTCTTGACAAACTTGACAGCAGATAGGGTGAGGTCTTCAATATGGGTGTTGGCCCGATTGTATGCGACCAGCACAGCCTGCAAGCTGGTAGAGAGGAAGCGGCTCGGGTATTTGGTTTTAACACGTCGATGTAATGTAGCCAATATATCAAGGAGAGTCTCAAACTTCAGTACTGGAAGGGGCGGGACTACAGCGGGCTGAAAGGCAGGACTTGTGCTTGACTCTCCCACCCCAACCTCGGGCGCTTTAGCTTTGATACCAGCTGATGGAGCGCCATGCTCGTCTTCGTCTGTGTCCTCATACGGCTCCTGGAACTGGAGCAACCGAAGCGCCTCTGTGACTTTGAGAATGCACTCTCTAGGGTTGCCCTTTGCGGCAATGTCTTGCAAGCATTCCTCAGACAATGGAAGTAGCGGAAGTAACAGATGGATCAGATCCCAGCCGATAGTTGCTGTGAGCTCTGCATCTTGGAGGACCTGGTGTAATACAGGCAAGTTCTCTTCGGAAAGGTTGTATTCAATGATGGTAAGATAGGTAATGGGGTCTGTCACGGGCGGGCGTGAGGCCAGAAGTGGATGCTGGTCCGTCTGAGCGGGATCATGGGTGTTGGCCATGATTTGTTCTCTTGGATTTCGAGCAGTGGATCCGGAAAACAGGCGATGTGAAGGCTTGGGGTCGCTGTAGAGACAATGGAGAAAGTGCAGATGTTGGGTCAGGCGGCAAGTGTTCCTGGCCTTGTTACTTCAAGGGCCTGGCCCTGACGCAATGCCAGCCCGTCCACACAGACACACAGCCCACTCAATGCGCGTCCACACGCTAGCCCCGCTGCCGCTCCGCCAAGATGATCGCTCTTCCAAAGTTCACCGCGACACCATTCGCTGAGCTCCAAACACCGCACGCCCAATAGCCCGCCATGGACGAGAAAGAAGAGACCAACGAGCCCCTCGATCTTGTGCGCCTCTGCATTGATGAGATTGTCATTGTCAAATTGCGCGGCGACCGTGAACTAAAGGGCAGGCTTCATGTACGTCTCTGCAAAGCTCTGATAACCCGGAGCAGACATATACGCAAACATGCCCAGCTGACAGTAAGGCGCAGGCTTACGATTCCCACTGCAACCTTGTCCTCGGCGACGTCGAGGAAACGATATACATTGCCGAGGAAGACGATGACGACCAAGAACCCCGCGTGCGGACAGTCAAGAAGCAGAGTGAGATGCTCTTTATAAGAGGTAGGCGAGAAGCACGGTATCTGGCTATTAATGCAGAGCTAACGAGTGCAAAGGTGACTCGGTAGTCCTGATTGCACCGGCAGAAGGAACATCGCAATGATCACTCTCTATTCGAACCCAAGTAAACAACACATAGGTCTGCCGCCCACAGAACATACTACAGTTGGACTATGGCCAGTCAAGCAGTCATCGACGAGATACCCGAGTGTGGAGACAGCAGGGCACATTGGTTGGCTCAGACGTAAAGTCAGCAACATGACTGACAGGCAGGACGCTTGCATACCGGGCTTCGTGGACAGTTACACCAAACTTGTCGAGCGAAGTCGTTCGGCCAGTCTTGTAGTGCTAAGACAAAGCCAGCACTAGACCATAACTCAAAATCAGACATAATATACCTCTTGCCCCTGCCGTGTGCTTCCGTTAATTCAACATGTTCACTTTTCACTGGATATATACCGCTGTGCTTAATAGTCAATATCAATTGCATAGTCACAGATTGGCTGGGCGCAAGGTTTAAGATGCAAACATTAAGTGCTTTTCTTGACTACCTGCCGAGTCCAAACTATGGACCTCCATATGACAGCAGAAAGCGCAGAGAAACCCAAAGGCACACTTGGTGCGACGCCCTCTCAAAACTCCTGTGTGCTTCCAGCACCCGCAACCGCCGAGCCCCCTTGAAGAGAAGTATGAGGCAAGAGGAAAAAAAGAGTAACGAAAGAAGATGACCCCGAAACCGAACATCAGCGTGCCGCGGCATGTACAGAATTAAGATAATGCGGGTGGAGTGCTCATAACCTCATGGCTTCGTCATAGAGCCCAAAAAAACTTTCCAATATAAGAAGATACAGTCGAAGAGAAGTGTGATCGTACGTGTTCAGCATCCATCCCCGTCCAAGGAACGGAATAAGGTAGCGAACAGCCGGGTCGCCCACAGAGGCAGACCCTGAGAGATGAATGGAAATTTGACGAGAGAACGAAAAGACTTAGGTCGGGTATCCATAAACACCATGCGCCGAATGTCCAGATGAAGATGGGACCAATGTAGAATCCGCCGCCTGCTGAAGTTGAGCATGCTCAAGAAAGCCGCCAAAGCGCCGTATGTCGGGGAACAATAAGCAAGAATGAAGAAGATTTCGGTGGTGACCGTGGGGGTGCTGACGTTGACCTGGACCAGATAGGGGTGCTGACGCTATCGCGCTCTTGACTGTCGAATGTTGGTCGACAATGTCCGTCAGATGCGCCGTCACACGACCCCTACGAGCCAAGTTAGAACACAGTCAGGCCAAGACGACATGGAGACAAGTGTATTCACTTTCGCCTCAAAGTCTGAGTTGCCAGGCTGTCCCTAGACATGAGTGGCAGAGAAAAGCCTTTTGAAATCTCCGCCTCGACAAAAATGGAAGCGCGCTTGTAGCGCTTGTCAGTGTACTTCTCGTACACGGCAGCATGGTGCTTTTGAGGGTTGTCACAGCACTCGAGTATGACAGTTATGAGCTGTCGGAGCTGGGTCAATGTGTACCCAGAGTAATGTACGTGCGATTGCGACTAGTATCAGTTAGCATCTTCATTCGCGATAACGCGTACATAGACATACCCAATCACCCTTCTTCAGCATGAAGCGCGCCAGACAGTGAGCACCCGCAGAAAGAAAGCTAGGGGCGCAACCCACAAAGCGCTCGTCCATGATGGTGATTTCCAAGAAGTATTTGGACAGGGTACGTGTCTCGAGGTCGTAGTCATCCGCCTTGCTTATGCGACGAAGGAAGCTCATCGGGCCAGGCCATCCCAGCTCAAACTGGAGCATACTGAGCATGAATCTCTCAGCCTTCAAAACTTCATCGGCTGTGTAGGCGCCATCGACCATGTACACAATCTCCTGCACTGATGGGCAGTTAATCTCCTCGTACTTGGCGGCGACGAAGAGAGCAGTCGCACCAACAAGCTGGAGTTTGCCAAGCGAGACAACCTTGCATGAAAGGAAGCGGTCGACGTAATTGACAGCAAGGAACAGGGTCTCGGGCAGGAGAGTGAAGCGGTTGTGGACCTGGACGAGCCAGTCCATGAGAACGGACCGCATTGACCACTGGATTTCAGCCTGATGATCCATGTAAGACGCGTTAGGCTTCATGCGCTCTTCGAGAGAGTGCATGTATTCGAAAATCTCCTCGCCATACTCGGCAACCATCGAGGTATCCCACTGCTCGTCCTCGACGTCTTCGGTTGTTCGGTTTGCCTCGACGAATACCCGCGCAGCCTCAAGTTCGCGTTGTGTCTTTGCTGTAATACGGGGTGCAAGAATCAGGGTAACACCGCCGGTTGTATTATCGCCGCGCGATCGAAGGGATCTAGCGGTGGTGTAACCGTCGGCATCGTAGTAGGTCTCTTCCTCCTCCTCGTCCCAGTACTCTTCCTGTTCGAGACCGCTGAGGCCGTTGGACTTGGCGAGTTCTTCATTTCGTTCTTGCTCCAAGGCGCGCGCCTGCTCTTCGAGCGCATCGAGGTATTCGTACCTGTCCTCCGCCTTGTTGTTTGTCTCGGTCTTCTCTTCCTCTTCTGGAATGGTCGCGGACTGTCCGGACTGTGCTGAGGCACGGTCCACGTTGGGAAATGAAGATGACTGTGCAGGGAGAGGCTGTTGCGAGGTTACGGGGGCGACGGCTGTGTCGATGGTGGCATTTGAGGGTGCCTCTTGGAATACAGCTGTTGATGACTTCTTTGAAAGCGTCTTGCGAACATTGGTTGTGGATTGTTTGGTGTCGATGCTGACTTGCTTTGGGGCCACAGATGCGACCTCGGTAACATCTTTAGAGGCGTTCTCTTTGGAAGAGACGCTGGTCGCTGGTCGTTGTGCTGGTCGTGAAAGGGCACCAGCTTTGACAGTCTCCTTGACAGTAACAGCAGCAGTATCCTTAAGGATCTCAAGGGTCTTCTTTTTGCCTGTTATTTGCGTGTCGTCTTTTGCTGTAGGCTGTCGAGTGGTGTTGCTAACATCGCCAAACACAGTCCGTTTGGCTGCAGCAGCCTTGATGCCGCCAGCCTGCACCAATGTAGACAGAGCTGGTGTTGACTTGTTGCGCGAGTGCAGAGTCTTGCCAGCAGGTAGCTGGGGCACCGCATTTTCGTCGCGTATACGAAGAGCCCTCACGGGTCGTTGTGGCTATGTAAACAATTGGGTTAGCAAAACTTGAAGAGAAGCAGCCTGGGTGGAATTGCATCTTGGTGTGAACGAAGGCCACTGACAAGGCAGCGCGTTCACACCGGGTTCAGTGAATAAAAGTACTGCTCAAGGCGCAGGCTTACCTTTGCGTCCATTGTGGTTGGAGGCTATCAGCAGAAGGCGAGATAGTCTCTGGGTGTATGTTTGTTGACAGCGACGGTTGCGAGAAAGTGGACGATAGGGGCAGCGGAAGTTGTAGTGCTACAGGTCAGTTGCCCATAAAGAAACTCTTCATATAAGTTGGCGGCAATGAGATAGGCGGGCCGGCGTTGTCGGGTGGCACGAAGAGTGGTGTTGACAACGGCAACAAGAGCTTGTAAACTTATATGGAGGGTCTGGAGCTATGCGCGTTTGGATTCAATGTTTATTTACTGACTGGTTCGAGCTCCAGACCAGGGATAGCGGCGCTATGCCGGAGCCGTCCTAGTGCCGGCGCACGGCCCGCCCCTGCTGGATGCCGCCTACAGAAACGTCATTGCCGAGGCGAACGCGGGAACCATCAGGGACATGAAAAACGTTTAATGTCTGCGCCGCCATACATGCTTGATTGCAGCATGCGAAAAGTGATTTGAAGTATTTGGTTACTAGTTGTAGATGTTTCACTCGATTTTTGGCGCTTCCAGGCACCGATTGCGCCAGCTACGCGTACCCACCATGACCCCTCACTTCTGACGCGCCAAGCCTCAATTAGCTGATTCCAGGACGCGAAATCACGTGCAGTTCCCTCAACTGACGGCCTTTCTCTGAAACACAGTATTTACCAGTTCAATGGTCAACAACAACATGAGTGCTCACTACCCCACGGTCATGGATGGCCTCGGATGTGGTTGCGACAACTGCGCCGGTCTGGAACCTGCAGAAACGACCCGCTGGCCGGCGCCCACAGCCTATCGATCAGCGCACTGCCACCAAATTTCAAACTGCAGCCTACACTTGCCTTTGTTGCGGCCCCGTTGCTCCAGAGAATAAGCAAGCATGTTTTGCGTTTGGCAGACGGTGAAAGGCATGCGTTCCGCATCTTGTTGGGCGCATGTTTCCTTTACTTTGTCCCCGCCGCAGCCACTCAAGGCCGAGAGCTTCACCGACAAAGTGATGTGGACCGATGGCATCCGTAGCGAGATCGCATGGAGCCAACGATGCGCACAACGTCTTTTCAAAAGGTCTGCGACGTGGATCCCTACCAAAACTTCGTTGCGCCAAAAGCGGGAGCCCTACAGTTGTTCATTGACCCCTCATTAGTTTAGAGCGGCCGTCCGAGCTTTTGGCCACGGATTTGCGAAGTCGCATGCCGCGCTACGCAGGTGCTTCCGCCATGATCGCTCGGGCACATGCAGGGTCGGGAATTTTGACAACAGAGATAACAAACGGCAGCGCAGTACTTTGGACAGGTCCTTGTGCTCGGAAGCGGGTGCGACGACTATGCGCGGGCTGATTACGGGATCTCGCGCTACTAGTTGTATCGTCATATTGTGTGGGTCGGAGATCATCAGACGATTTCGGGGACAGACGTAGACATAATTCTAGGGTCGCGTAATTCACAAGTCGCACGAGCCTTTGCAGCTGCTGGCGGCGACTCATTCAGGGACAATTGCCTACCAAATGGCTCTAGGCAAGCAGGTGTGTGTGGCATTGATTGTCGCATGGCGATCTCTCCAATAGACGCCCGGCAACAGCTGGCAACGAATCCACAGCGCTTCACCCACAGCGGGGACCGACACCCTTCTCTAGCATTCCAACCATAATTCTTTGCAAAAGGCGACCCAGAGTACGCCATTGCTGGACCCCAAACGGCTCAGCGTAGCGCCCGAGGATATCAGGGTGCTGAAGTTAACCCGGCCCTTTATTCACATGGAACAGACGCCTGTATACAAGCCAACAACGCAGCGTATCGGCCTGCTGGCCATATACCATGCCATCTAGTGTCTGGCAGCAGGAAGACGTTTCCCTAAGTGTTCTGGCATCCCACAAGCGACTGACTTGTCCTGTGGCATGCACTCTAGGGTCATGTCGCGATTGGGCGCATAGCTGGCGCCGGGGGGCATCTCATGTTTCGGCCTCGACAGACAGGCTCTAGATAGGATCAAGACAGATGATGTGTTAATCCGTTTCAATGCGGTCGTAGCCCACTTGCGTGGCTAAGGGTGGCCTGTCATCCCTAGTAGTGTATATACTAGTCACCAACTGAGGCGCAATCGCATATGCTTTGGAGGGGAGTATGCGCTGTGCTTTTGATGCCATTTTGCTCCTACGAGTTGCATTCCAAAAAGCTTTTATTGCAAAGGCGACCGTCAATTTGTGGTTTGAGGCGCGTCTGGAAAGTGCGTCGTGACCTTTGAGCGGTCCTAGTCGGGGTGGTCCTTAAGTGCTTCGCTTCGGTGCCATTGCTCAACCCACCTCCAACGCATCTCGGTGGCAGTCCACAACCACCACCTTCTCGTAAGTCTCCAACCTTCTCATCAAGCATCTCATTCATCTGGGCTCGCGATCTGGCATCCAGATCGCTCCAATCTTGGTCTGCGCATTCCGGCCGCTGACCTGACGCTGCCATCCAGCGGCGACACACGGGATCGCATCGCAGCGTCTCCGCTACCTTTCTGCGCTCCTTGAACCCACTACCGGTATGTATAGCTCCTCATGGCGCCTTGCGACCGGGTTGGCATCTACACCTCGTCGCGACGCGGCCCCTGGGCCTCTCGCGCTATCCTCCCTGGAGACCGTCACTGGGCAGCGGTGACGACCCCCCAACGGCCTCCAGCCCGACACACACTCTACGGAACAGGACAACGCCCATTTCGGATGCCATCAAAGCGAAAAAAGAGCCATCGGCTAACACTATACAATCCAGACACCGCGCCCACTTATCCTTCCACGACCGCCCATTCATCCCAAGCTCTTGCGACACCGGCAGGCTTGGTGCGCCCCCCTACCACACACACATACAACCAAACCTCACATTCTAGAGGCTTTGGAATACGCGGATAACACACGGATCATTGGTAATGCAAGTTTCCAACATGCTTGCTGAGCCTCGGATTGCTGGCGCACAACGCTTCCCTGAGGTGGAAGACCTCATAGCGGGCCGACATCATGAAGCCATGCACTCGGCGGCTGGCTACGACATGGCGCCCCAGAGGGAAGACGCGAGCATGATGGATGTCTATCCAAGCACTGAGACTGGCTCGGCGCATGACTCCCTGTCGCCCTCCAAGCAGATGCCCAAGAAGCACGTCAGCTTCGAGCTGCTACTCCCCCAATCCCCAGCCCACAAAGCCCGACTACCAATGCGGGTAGACATCTACCCACACGATACAACAGACTCCATCATTACAACAGTGAAGAACTTCTACGGCCTGTATGAGCGCCGTGGAGTCATCTTTGAAGACCGCCATGGCAACACGCTCATCGCGCGGTTCGAGAACTTCGAACATGGCATGACTGTCTATGTCCGAGTCTCCCCAGAAAGCCTGGATGCAGATGAGTACTCCCCTGATCCGCGACAGACGACTGTCTCGCCCCGCCGCCCTCGACCTCATCTTGAAGAGGCCTTCCAGATGCTCCCGCCTCATCAGCACAATCAAACAGGCGCAAGAGCGGGGTCTCGCCATGCTCGCCAAAGCCATTCTCCACACCCAAGTCGTGGCCGCAGAAGTGCTTCAATCAGCAAGCGCATGCGCCCCTCCACAAAGAGCCGCGGAAACAGCTCACATGACAGCTTCGCTGAGGCGAATGGCGACGACTACAGCGACAGCGAGGGCGAGCATGGCTCAGTTACCAGCTCTCGCCGCTCGAGGAAGGAGCCACTCGCCAGTGCTGAGATTAGTGTCGACAACATTGTCGAAGGTGGGCGTCGAAAGCGTGCAAAGTTTGACAGCTCGGTAAGTACCTTGGGTGGGAGAGTGCATCGTGCAATAGTCTGACACCCATCCCTTCCATAGGAGCTGCCACTTTTCGTTCCGCCCCAGGTACCCATGACCACTTCTTTATCATCCGCATCTCCTCAGCGACGCATCAGTGGTAATACTGCTGGTTCGCCATACTCTGTCAACCAGCAGACATTCTCATACTCACACCCGCTGCCATCGCCGCAAAGCTATGGTCAAGGTGACAGCTCGTACATGCAAGGATTGGTCACGCCCTACTCTACATCGAGTGGTCCGGCGCAGGGTAACAAGTCTCGTGCGCGGGGCTCAGGACAGCATTCTCACTACCGCTACTCTGGCAGCAGTGGAATGCTCCCCACCCCTGATACTACCCTTACGAGCATCAGCGTCATCTCTGATGAAGATGTTGCTCGTCAGCTCATGCGCTTGGGCGATGCATCCAACTTCTCCACTCACGGTCGTACCTCGACTTCAACGCTTGACGATGCCTTCAGCGGAAAGGCTGATGCAGCATCTTCGAGTGATGAGAGTGCTGATGGCAGTGAGGACGAAGCCGAGCTGCCACCCCTCCCATACAACATCTCTCGTGGACTGCATGATATGACTCGTGTCTACGATGACGCCGACAGCAGTGGCGAGGACTACGAGGACGAGCGAGACGGCTCCTTCAAGGGCGTCAGTGATGAGATGATGGCGGATGAGCACAACAATCAGCGTGTGCAGACAGGCATCATCAAAGCTCGTTCCATTTCGAGCAAGTCTGGCAAGCCCAACAAGTCTCGAGCCATGTCTAAGAGCAAGAGCAAGACGAATGGTACCAACAAGGCTGCCCCCATGTCGCCATCATCTCTTCCCTCGCAGTCACGCAAGGCCTCGAATGCATCAATCAACTTCCAGCATCAGCTCGCTGTTGATGAGGAGGACCTTTCAAGCAAGCCGCGGTGCCAACGCTGCCGCAAGAGTAAGAAGGGCTGTGATCGCCAACGCCCGTGCCAGCGCTGCAAAGACGCTGGTATTGGTGCAGACGGATGTGTCAGTGAAGACGAAGGCAACGGCCGGAAGGGCCGCTATGGACGCCACATGGGCGTCTCGGTCAAGAAGAACTCGGTGCCATCTGCTGTCTCAATGGCGCCTCCGCCATCATACGAGTACAACATGGCTGTGGATGGCCCCCATGCTCTAAGCACGTCACTGGACAAGAGCAAGAAGCGCAAGAGGTAGAGGCCATCTTGTGAAGATCAGTTTGTTGATCTACAAAACTCAAGCAGTCTCTGCTTGCTGTCAATCCTTACATTTCACGTTGTGCCACTTTGTGGTGCTACTCCCAACATATTGTCATTACTGTATCTTGCAGCACCCCCACTCTTTTTTCTTCTTGTCCGTCTCTGGTGTTTTGGATAGCGAGTGTTTGTACTCTCTGGTTGGGTGGTATTCTTAGCGCCATCCCGTTCCGCTCCTTCTCAGCAAGTCAAAAAGTGTCTTTTTGCGCACTGCGTGTACAGTTGGGCGTCGATGGAGAGAGGCGGGACTGGAGATTGTCACGGTGTTACAGGACTAGATTGTACTGGACCGATGGGAGGCACTGGTTGGGTAGAGGATTTGGGCTGGCTGGGGGAATGGTTTTGTTTTGACTGTCCATACTGGTTCGCTTTGGCGAATGTTCTCCTACATACTACTTGATAACGTTGTCTGACAAAGTAGCGTCATTTGTCAATTATATTCAATGGAGCTCTTAGAAGCAAAGTGGATCATGTCAGGCGTGTCTTCCATGTGTACATGTGCGGCACATGGCATACCGGTGAGGATTTGTTATGGGTCACACTGCATTGGTGCATCTACCCTGGAAACAGCATGCCTCTCATGACCCCACGATGTGAGCACATGGTTGCTGCGACAACCAAGGTACCTTTGCTGTCAGCCCGATACTCAATGGCAACGTCGAGCCATGGCGGACCAAGACTGCGTCCAACTGCTGCCAGCCTTGTACTTGGACAGAGAGACAGGAACGCGCCTAGGGACGAGAGATGAGGAGTGAGTTACTACAGGGATTAGCGGGAGCTAGGGTCGGAGGCTGTGCTGCCTGCAATCAATACCACTAGCCATTCGTAAGGCGTTCTACTGTCACTCATATTGTACGTCCAGCCGCCCAGTCACTCGTTCGTGTTATAATCGCTCTCTCCCGTCTACTTTTTACCTGCTCTGTTGCGCCGGTTTCTTCCAGCCAAGTTGCGCAGCGACGCGGCAAGCAAACGGTTCACGATTGAGTGCTGCTCAATCGACTCTTTGTCACCAGCCACAGCTAAACCGGTTCCGCTCCGACCACCCCACAGAACGCGAACGCCATGGCCGAGGGCTCCATCAAGTCGCGGATCGCAGCACTGAACCTTGAAGAGGTCCATACACCTGTTCCTGGCGCGAAGCCGTCCTATATCTTCGATGCAGCCGCCACCAAGAAGAAGCCGCCTCCACCTCCACCGCCCAGCGCGCGGCCACCAGCCTACTCGCGCCAGACGGTCAATAACCCTCCAATCCTCAGTAATGCACCAACGTCTGCGCGACAAATTGGCAATCAGCCCGCAGTGGTAAACGAGACCGCAAGCCCAAAGATCTCGCCTGCACTGCCTCCCCGGCTGCCCCCGCGCAATGGCAGTACGCCTCGACAGACACCAACACTGCCTCCTCGCAAGTCCTCCGAGTCGAGCGTACGGAGGCGCGAGTCTTCCGAGTCCATTTCTACAATCGCTTCCAGTGTTTCGAACTTGTCCTTAGGTTCTGTGAAGACATATGGCGCCTCACACAGTAATGGAAGCACTGGTACATTGCACCAAGTCAGGGCTCCTGCATTCGATCCAACGAAACTGCCCCCACTGCCACCTAAAAGGACTTCTAAAGACTCTAAGCAGAGCAATGCTATTCTGAATGCGATGAAAAGTAAACGTGACTATGTTCCTGCTCGAGCCCTTCCACCGCAGGTCAAGACTCCAGGTAAGCATAGTAGACCAGCAAACAGACATGAGCATGTGCACGCATGCTGTCTATGAGTTGCAAGTGAGCCAATGGCAGATCATATCACAAAATCTCGACAGATACACCAAGTAGGAAAGACGCTGACTGTGATTCTATATAGATGTACCAGCCCGTCCGCCTTTGCCTGCCAGACAATCAACCCTTCGCGAACGATCGCCTAAGCCCGCCCCAGTCCTACCACAGAGGCAGGCGTCCAACGATGCGCCGCGAGCGAATAGAGTGGTTGCGCCGCCACCACCACAACGTCCTCCCCAGAGATCTGCATTGGAAATGGGTTTCAATAATAAGGCGCCTTCTCCTCCTCCCGTACCCTCAACCCGACCGCCGGCAGTCACCTCCCAGTCTACGCCCTCACCAAAAGTACCCCCACCTATCCCATTGTCATCCAGACCCAATCTGGAGGCGATCATGGCCTCGAAGCCAAAGCCAGGTGCTGTCGGATGCTGCCTGAAATGTCGGGACTTCTCTGCTCCGGACAATCATGCTGCGCAGTTTCCACGCACTCAACTCCCTTCCTCTGATGTCGGCTGGCTTGCTCATCAACTCTGCTCCCAATTTCCTTCGCCAACCGACAAAGCACGCGTCATTTTCACCTGGCTACACCATAATGTTGACTATGATGTCCACTCGTTCTTCAATGGCACTGTTTCCCCAACTACTCCAGAGAAGACCATTGCCTCTGGCCTCGCAGTATGTGAGGGCTATGCTGGTCTATTCGCTGCTCTAGCTCTGAAAGCAGGTCTCGAAGCCATAGTCTGTTCTGGCGCCTCCAAGGGGTTCGGTTATACACCACTAGAGCCTGGACAGGCCGTACCACCCTATAAATCCACGCATGCCTGGAATGCTGTGAAGATCGACAACGGAGAATGGAAACTTATTGATCCATGCTGGGGAGCTGGGCATATCGGATGCCAAATGCGTGGTGAAGGGTATGTTTTCTGAGCAGTGGCTTCACTTGGTAATTTACTGACTTTGCCATAGATATGTAAGGTCATTCAATGCGCGCCAGTTCACTATGGATAACGATGAATTTGGGCTGCGGCACTTCCCTGGGGACGCTTCTCAACAATTGCGCAATGATGGGCGCATCATCTCCTATGAAGAATTCATGCGAGATGATCAAGGTGGCCGCGTACAGGTATATGGCGACGCTTTCAAGGAGCACGGCTTGGGCGAGCGAACATTTGAGCCTTCGCAAGCACAGATCAAAGCCAACGACCCCTATGCACCAGCAGTGATTCGATTTCAGTTCTCGACCGTCTGCCCGCACTGGGACAATGCGCGCCATGGCAAAGGCCCGCCCTATATTATGCTCCTGAGCATTGCGGGAAGAGATGGCCGCAAGCCAGATTACAAGCCGTTCAATACCGACGGGCATACATGGTGGCTCGACGTTCCTCGGGTCGAGCTCGGTGTTCCAGGTCAAAAGATTGCAGTCAATGCGATCACCGAATTTAATGGGAAAGACGCTCGGGGCATGAGCATTGATACATGGAACAATAAGCAAGGGTACTCGTGCAAGTTTGGTGGTGTGGCCTCATGGGAGCTTATTTAGGACTCAGGGACATGCCCTACCGGCTCACATTGTTGATGTTGAAAACAACGCGGATTTGATAAGGATCTAAAGACACAAGAGCGATGAAAGAGGTAGGGAAAAGGCGTGTGGATACCCTGGATTTGATTTGATTTGGACTTGGCGAATGGCATGAGCTTAATAATCCTTTTGGAATCCTAAAATAACAACGTTGGCTTCGTTTGCAACCGGATCGCCGTGCATTGCATATGTTTATATTAGGGCTACTACATTTGCGACATATGAAAACGTGCCATCTTACGTCAGCAGCCGTTGGGGTGGCTTCCCTGTGGCTGAATTAGCAGCTTAGCCCGATCGGCGAAACAGTGAAGTCGGGTAGGAAAGTAGGAACAACGGCAGTGCATGCGCGCGACTTGTACCCTCCACCTCCACCCTTCCAATCCGGGGGTCGCCCTCTTGTCAATACGCCCTAGAAGCCCCTTCGAGGTTCTCGACGCTCACATTCCGCCCGATAGACTCACGTCGCTGGAACGCATCAGTGCTCGATCGCTGCGCTTTGCGAAGTTCCGCTTCGTTTAGCAACCGCCCGAGGCAGAACTTTGGGACAGCCTCGTGCGTCCCGTTTGCAACCATGGCTACGGGCTTTGTCGGACTCTCGGTCGCAGTGACGCTTCGGAATCCTCCTGGGGCTGTCTTGCTAGGTGTCGTGAGTGGTGTTGACCAGCAGACGGCCACCTTGACTCTTCATGATGGTATGTTTACAAACCGCTTGTAGTCGCGGCAGAGATGAAGAATACGTACTCACCTTTGAAAGTGTTCTTTCCAAGCTCCGGTCATCGTCTTCCTTCATACACCGTCGAAGGGCACATGATTGCTGATATCAAGGTCAATGCCTCTGCGCCCGCTCCTCCGCAACCTCCCCAGCCACCATCTGAACCCCCGGCATACGCGCAATACCCCCAGAGCCGTGTCCAAGATGTCCGAGCAAATGCTGCGCAGCAAATGCCGCACCTTGTCAGCCAGCCGTCGTCCATACCGCACGATGACCAGTCCATGAATGCACGCAACGGCTCACGTCAATCGATTTCCCACTCGGTCCAGGCTGCACCATTCGTCGATCCTGCGATCCTGAGTATGGGAAAGCGCACCAATACTACAATCTCTTCGAGTCAGCTTGCTGCAGCACCACCCCAGGAAGCTCCCGCCACACCAATCACGGCTGTGGTTGGCGCGAGCGCTGCGCCTCTGCCCAAAACTACATCTTCGTCTATTAGTCAGGTGAAGCATCACAATGTTCGGAAGCCAAGCGCAGCGACACTGGAGGGGCCTTTCTCGTCTTTGGACATTGCAGATGCGGAAGAAGCAGATAATGAGACGAGGATTGCTAGAATCGCGCCGCGTAGAGCAAGCATCAGCAAGACCAGAACAGGCAAGCCTATGGATGATGTGAGCCCTCAGAAGAACGATGACGGTGGCAAGAAGACTCGGAGGGGAGGCAAGTCCCGTAAGAAGGAAGTTGCGGCCCAAGAGAGAAAGAACGGGGTTGACTTCCAATCTGCTGGTGGCATCAAGAAAGGGTACGTGCGCTTCTTTGATGCAGAGGTGGCAGCCCGATTATCGGACCTACATAAGCTGACTAGCAATAGCAAAGGCAATGGTT